AGTGTTTTTTTTTTTTGTTTTTTTTGATTATTTTGACTTATCAAAGGCTTTTGACCGAGTCTGGCATGCTGGCCTCCTGGCCAAACTCGAGCACCTTGGTGTCCATGGCATTGCCCTTACCTGGCTCACAAGCTACCCGACTCGCCGCCGACAACGCGTCAAGGTTGGCTCCGCTTTGTCATCATAGAAATCCATTACAGCTGGAGTACCCCAGGGCTCTGTCCTGGGGCCTCTTCTTTTCCTGGTGTTCACGATCGACCTCCCACTTGCATGTACAAACTCCCACACCGGCCCAATGCAGCCAGTTCGCCGATGACACGGCACTCATCGCGACACCTTACACGAGGGAATTATCAGCTGCATTCCTCCAACGTGCCGTGGACGCAGCAGGCCGATGGTTGAAGGATTGGCATCTCATCGTCAACACCACGAAAACCGTCGTCCTTTCCTCCCAACCGGCCCCAACACACCATCCACATCACGCTCCACTCGACTTGGCTGCAGCAGGTCCACCAACATAGGCACCTTGGTGTTACACTCCAAGGCGATATGCAATGGACCCAACATATCATACATTTATACCTCACTCCATATTCACCCACATACAATTGGCCATCTACATAAGTGGTGAATATTGCTGAATATTCACCGCTTATATTCACCACTTACCTCATATTCACCACTTATATTCACCACTTTTCGATACTTACATTGTACTGTAAAGAGAGCAGTACTCGGTGCTGCGCTTGATTCCTCTTCAGTCAGCGCACCGGAGCTGTCGAGTGCCCTAGAAAATGTCTACACTAACTTCCTTAGACAGGACTTTTCTGAGTACAAACGAAATAATTCCTTGCTTGCCATTGCCGCTGGATCCGCATGTGACCAGGTGCTGACAGTGAGCATCTTCACAGACGGAGCGTTTCAGCGAGAAAACAAGGTTTTGGACGCTCAACATGTCAATGGCCCGATGATTGCGGATCAAGCGGCAAGCCAGGAATTTCGTTTGCACTCAGAACAGCCCTGTTCAAGGACGTTAGCGTAGAATTTTCCTAGGGCACACAACAGCTCCAAAGCGCTGCCTAAAAAGAAAAGAAGTGAGAGTAGAACCGCTTGGCTCGCTGTTATAAACCGACTCCCGAATTGGCGCGATGGTCGCGGATTGGTCAAATCTTCGCGTGAAACGAAACCTCTCTCTGATTGGTCAAATCTTCGCCGAAACGAAACCTCTCTCTGATTGGTCAAATCTTCGCGTGAAACGAAACCTCTAGCTCTAATGATTGGCTTCCGCCACAACTCTGCACGAGCGTGTTCTCCATGGTGATTGGCACGAGCGTGTTCTCCAAGGTCGTCACCTCCCATGCCACATGCACCAGTACGTGTACACGATCGATTGAACAAGATTCTGGACAAGCCGCCCTCCGATTCAGGCAAGAACACGCCAGTCGGTCTGAAGGCTCAGTGAAGCAACAACGACTTACGTTAGTTCTGTGTACATGTACATGTATGACCAACAGGACTGGTTTGTTGGGTTTTAGGGACGAGAGGGTGAATATGGAGAGGTATAAGTCTAATATTACCTTCAGCCTCGTGAATATGGGCGAATATTCACTAGTTATACAAACCTCGGCTTCGCCTCGGTTTGTATACTAGTGAATATTCGCCCATATCCACTCGGCTTCAGGTAATATTATATACGTAGAAACCACCACAACAACAAAGCCAAAAAACTACTACACCAGCTCCACAAGACACGTGGCACAATGAACACTTCCAGCCTACTATTAATATACACGACCTACATCTGACCCGTTCTCGAATATGGCAGCCTTGCCCTCTCCAACACCACACAGCAACAGCGGGACACACTGGAGAGAATTCAACGCCGTGCTATACGCATCTGCCTTCGGATTCCCCTCTTTGCACCAGTTCACCACAGTTACCTCCTCCATCACGCAAAGCTTCCCACCCTTAGCTCACGACTCCTTGTTAAACAAGTCCTACTAGCGTGGGACATCCACCACCAAACCTGCCCACCACACCCAGGCTGCAACAACCACATCTTGCACCACAACGTCAACACCAACCATACACCCTTCGACAGACAAGGATCTACTGCATCGGACACGCACACACAAACAGGCACCGAGATTCCCCCATCAACAGTGCCCTCACCCTCTACAACTCACTCCCTATCGACATCACAACCCAACCTCGTAGACATTCTTTCCGAAACAATGCATCCAGTCTTCTTTTGAGCAGTACTTGTTCCTGCCCCGCGCATCCCCCTGGTTTCTGATATCTCGAACGTGTACTTAACTATCTCGATCACCCCTGCTAACGTTATTTCACCCGCTTGTTTTTCATGATCCATTGCTCCTTGCCTCCCCGATTAATTTCCATCTAGCTGTTTCTGGCTAGGATCAGTTCTATCAGACTTATAGATCCTCCTTATTGGCGTCATGCCATCGTGGAATAAATAATAATAATAATAATTATTGCTATCGGTATTGGGCACATTCAAGGTTCAAGGTTTGTGTGTGTGTGTGTGTGTGTGTGTGTGTGTGTGTGTGTGTGTGTGTGTGTGTGTGTGTGTGTGTGTGTGTGTGTGTGTGTGTGTGTGTTGTAGACCTGGCTGAATAGTGGCGATCAATTCATCAGCCTTGCAAGCTGTTGAATGGTGCAATCCCGGCACAAGTTGCTATGGCTTCTGCTGTAGCATCGCTATCATCGCCTCTGGCGATGGGCGCCAAATGGTGTGTGTGTGTGTGTGTGTGTGTCTCTCTCTCTCCTCGGTCAGTCGACGTGGATCCATTGGCTCTCAGCTGAGCTCGGCGCTACGCCGTCGCACCTACTCGTCGACGATGAGCTCAGGCGACACACGGCCCCGCGTTGTTAGTATGACTGGCAATGGAGCAGGCACCGGGCGACGGCGCTTCAAGAGCATGCCTGCGAGTAATACAAGCCCGGGACAGTCGCGACACACTGCGAAGAACGGGCATAGTCTGCTCCTAGCAACCAACAGCAAGTCTCTCACGACAAGCCCCCGGACCTCGCCACCACCTGAATACGAACTTCACCCTGCCGTAGCGCCACCACTATCACCGGGCTTTGACAAGGAACCAGCCGAGAAGGAAACGAGGCTGTCATCTCCGTCCGACAGTCTTCCCTCTTACATGGAGTATTCCGGGTTCAACGACGTCTTTACAAATGACGTGACTGTGGACGACGACAGTGGCGATACACGGGCCCTCCGACACACGGCTGATATCCTTGTAGCAAGATTGTAGGCACTCACAACACGGAAGGACAGTGAGTGAGTGAGTGTATGCGGGCATGCATAAGCGAGCGTGTGTGTTTGTGTGTGTGTGTGTGTGTGTGTATATGTGTGTGTGTGTGTGTGTGTGTGTGTGTGTGTGTGTGTGTGTGTGTTCTCTGCTCTGGTGGAGGACGGTTGTACTTTTTCGGGCTCTTGTTTCTGGCCTCCGTCTGTGCTGGTTCTTGCTGTTGTGGACGGCCTGGGGCGTCCCCAGCTACCCAGGCCAACAGTGCCTAAGGTGGGGTATTCATCGACAGGAGACTTGGTCGGATAGTTACGATGCCGACACTCTCCTCATGGCCCCACCTCGGAGTCCTTCGCGAGGCCTTGCAAGCCCGCGAGTGGAGCTAACTACCGCACGAAGACGACGACTTGGAACGACTCTGAGCATTGGCTCATGGAGTGTTCGCTCTGTTGACTGTTGTGAAGAGTGATGGACCAGTTCAAGCGGCAGTCGTGAGAGGAATCGTTTCCCATGATAAGCCAGATCGCTGCCAGAGATGGCTCTCTCAAACATGGTCCCTGAGTTCCTGACCTAGTATCTCTCTCTCAGCGGACTGCCGTCGCTCGTTGTTCCATATTGTCGGCCCCGCAAGGGGACACGTGACCGTAATGGCAGTGTTTACCAGGACCATCTCTGTGTGTGTGTGTGTGTGTCCAGGACAGCATGAACCACGTGACGGCGATCAAGTGAGCAACCATTGCAGCTGGCCTATCAGGGCGCTGAGTGGACAGCTCTCTTCTTTCTCAACAGCTGCAGAAAGTGTCCTTGAATAGGAGGGGAACATTTATTGGTGACAGCATCATTTCCACAGTCTGTTAAAGGGGAAGTTAAGGCAAAAATTAAAATTTCACCAGTTGTAGTCTTCGGGGTGCTGAGTCGAATGGTCGTGGTCCGAGGAAGCTGAGACGCTCCCTTCCTACTTGAATCCCAATCGAACTCGCGCACTTCCACCTACTGGGTGACTGCGCCCTACGAGATGGGGATTTGTATGCAAAATGTCACTAAAAGCGCCATTTCGTTCTTATAAAAGCACGGATGACCGCGATTGGCCCATATGTTGTAGTCTTTTGGACGCTGAGTCGACTGGTTTTGGTCCGAAAAGGCTGCGATGCAGCGTTCGCCCCTAATTCCCAATCGAACATGGTTGAACAAGCGGTCACGTGCTCCTGCGTACACCAGTCACCTGGTCACCGTGCCTGCAGGGTACAACTTACAGCCTGTTTTGACCTTTTTTGGGTGCAGTCATGTCACTCGAGTTGAACCTTGGTGTGAAAGTTGTCGCCTGCTGGCGTGGTGACCAGGTGATTTTGGCACCCAGGAGCACGTGACCGCTTCTTCAACCATGTTCGATTGGGAATAAAAGAGGAACGCTGCGTCGCAGCCTTTTCGGACCAAAACCAGTCGACTCAGCGTCCAAAGGACTACAACATATGGGCCAATCGCGGTCATCCGTGCTTTTATAAGAACGAAATGGCGCTTTTAGTGACATTTTGCATACAAATCCCCATCTCGTAGGGCGCAGTCACCCAGTTTCGGTGGAAGTGCGCGAGTTCGATTGGGATTCAAGTAGGAAGGGAGCGTCTCAGCTTTCTCGGACCAAGACCATTCGACTCAGCACCCCGAAGACTACAACTGGTGAAATTTTAATTTTTGCCTTAACTTCCCCTTTAACAGTTCAGATCATCATAAGAGTGTTATTTGTGACCAACCCGCCAACCCACACTTCTGACATTGCTACCATACTAAATGGGGTTCCAAAAATTTCTTGATGGGTGAATACCACACTTGACAAGGAGAAGGAAGATAGAAAAATGAAACAGAGGCAGGAAATGAGTTTGAAAGTTCACAAAAGCCCCAAATGGCAGATAATATCTAGCATTGAGGTAACTGAAATATAAACATGAATAAATCGCTACTTGCCTGCTTGAATTGGTGAAAGCTGGTATGAGATGGAGGGCTGATTTTTGTTTTTCATGATAAAACAGAGTGAACGTTCAGCTAAGCAATTGATCAAATGTTGCTTTTACACTCGCTCCCATCCTTGGCCTCACAATGCAGCACTCCATGAGTTTCCCCCTGGCCACTGGCACATGTACACGAGCAACACTTTTGAACTCTATGCTCGACCGACGACACAGTATAGTTGACAAAAGCATCTACGTGCGATGACTCCACTCGGCCGGATTGGAAGATGTAATTCCAATCCCACATGGCTCCAGAACGCACCAAGGCAAGTGAGGTATAGTGTTTGTAAGTTGCCCGGTAGGAGTCTTTTCTCAGCATGGCTTGAATGCCCGCTCTATTTTGAACTGACGCTTCCATATTTGGTGAGAACAGCAGGTAATCTTCCCCACGTCTGGCAACACCAACAGCACTCCCCTCAAGCCCGTTGTCGACAATAACTTGGAGGTGGACTTTATTCTTCTTGATCATTCTCTTCATTTTTGAGCGGGTAATATCGGGTTGGATAGGAAATCGGTCCTCATCCGAGATAAGCAGAAAAGTTACTGATACGTTTTTCTGGTTCAATCTTAGCAGCTGCTCATTGGATTTTGGATCAGTGATGCTCTCCAAAGCAAACTTAATAGCATGGTAACCATCTTCTTTACTACTTCGTTCTGACTTCAACAGCTTTTGACTAGCCTCCTTAAATCCGTTGATGTCATACACTCGGGACTCATCATTGCTGCGAATGACACGTGGTACTTGTGCCTTGTTACCAAAACCTACAAGAGAATAATGATTCTCAAATCCTGGGTAAAGACCAATTCCATGCTCCTTAAGAGATGTGTCAAGGCTTTCTATGATCATTTCCAGCCGAGCCGGGAGCTCTCCTGCGTTTGTTTGCGACTCGTCGAACAGAACAATGATATCGGCAGCTGATCGTCCACATTGATAGATGTTATTGGAGTTGTTTGACAATGCTTGCGACTGCTGCAGTAAAGCGGCTGGTAGTGTACCACATTTCACTGGACACACAAACAAAGACAAAGAAATACGCTGACTCACATTGTGTTTGTAGGGTCTAGCATCACGATTGTGAAGGGCTACACCTGTGCGTGTACGAGGGCAAGAAAGGATGCCCCCCCCCCCCCCCACACACACACACACGCACGCACACACCGCACACACCACACACTACTGCTACTACTACTATAGCATGACTGCCCCATAGGGCCATGTCACTCCCTTGTGACAAGGAGCCAGAGTCAGGGTAAGAGAGTCAATGCTGGCGAGCCACATGCCGGTTGAGATCTCGTGGAAGCCGAAAACATTTGTTGCAGAGCCGGCCCTCATATTCGAAGGTTTCCCTCTGTTTACAAGTAGGTCGACTGCCACGGCTGCATTTGTGCTGCTTGAAACCGGATGGCGAAAACTGGCGTTGGCACATTGAGCATTGGAGTTTGCCACTGTCCAGGAGAATCGACGAGGGACAAGCTTGGGTGCTGATCGTACTGCGGGTGCACTTGTGGACCACACACACACACACACACACGCACACGTACAAGTACAAGTTAACTGCCACAACTGGTCACGTGGGTCTCCCCGGGAGAGGGGAGAGAGACTCAACAGGAATCTTGGAAAGATGACTCAATTGGCTATTGAACCGCCCAACGGCCGACGCCCCTGAAATCCCCAAAACTCTGGGTGGACTTGGGTGGACATGAATGATCCTGCACCACCTCCTCAATGACCGTACTGCACTTCTCGCAGGTCTATCAACGGGCATGGGGTACTAGTACATGAGTGTATCGTTATCTCACATTCTTACAATGGGTAAAGCAGCACTCTAGCTTAGTGTGGGGTACGGGGTAGCGTTATCTCTGCCACTTGCGCCGTGCACAGCACAGTGTTGCTGAAAATGAAATCCCCGCCGCGTCACTAAAGTAGTCGCCGGGCGTTGCGCTGCCCTTAGACCCGTGAACACCGGGCTGCGAAATGGTGCAAGGCGCAATCTTGAGTGACGTGACTGGATATCATTCAGCAGAACTGTATACCGTAAAGTCTTGTATAGAAGCTGCCCTCGAATAGAAGCCGCAATTTTGGGCCCATCAAATCACACATAAGCCTGGTTTTAGTGTTGACATACATGGAAATACCTGTCTTGTATAGGAGCCTATCTCTTATAGAAGCCTGCAAAATTTTACCAAGAAAGTCATAAGCCGCGGCTTTTATACAAGACTTCACGGTATCCGCGATACAACGATAACAAGCGGCACTTTAGCTTTGTGTAGGGGAGTGTCTCTCAAAAGTCAAAAAACATAGGTTCTTGAACCCAGCCAAGCACTTGGCCAAATTGAAAGTGGGTCCTGCAAAGTCTGCAGTACAATAGTACAATAGCACGTATAAGAACAACCCACTTGAAGCTTACACGTACCAGTGGTTTCGGCAGGAGGGGAAGTGTGGGGACCCGTTGTTGCCGCTGGCACATCCTCTGACCTAAAGAGAAACATCACAAGTGATCGAGTACACTTGTTAGAACATGCATGGGTCTACGACAGAGGTAGAATTTAGCATTACACTAGTATAGTCTGTAAGCCAGGCAATCTCACTATTTCACAAGTTCTACCATATGCGTCGCGGTAAAACGCAGGTGCATACGTACAGTGCACATTATTATTATGTTTGCGTACGATTGGTGAACGATTTGTTTGTGTGGTTTCTGGTGTCCTCACTGATTGATTACTGCTGTTTCTGTAGACGTGTCCGATGTTGCTGTTCTGCTGTTCTGCCATGCCTTCTGGTGGTTTTATTTTGTGATTTTTGGCTCCTGGTATGGCCAAGACGTTTGCGTCAGTCTGTGTTTCTTTCTGCGCGTGTCTTTGTGTCTCTGTGAGTTGTCGTAGCCCCATCGGCTACGTTATGGTGTTCCGGACAGCTCCAGTGTGCGTCCTGTGCTACCAGATGACTGGCTACCCAGTTCTGCTGCCGCAGTCTTCGCAGTCCATGAGTGCCGTCGGTTTGCCTTGGCTCCTCACCGTTGTTAACAGTTAAGTACTCACTTGTCCAGCGGCTTTCGCACTGCATGTTTTTGTTTTATACTCGCCTGTTTATGTTGTTCACATTTTGTTTCTTTCGTCTTTCTGTCTTCTTCTCTGGTCTGCCTTCTTGCAGCTTTTCTTCTTCTTCATTTATTGGCTCAGCCCATCCTTGGGGGAGAATGCTTTTTTTGGTGGAGGATAGTGTTGTACATGCTGCTGTGTTTTTGTCACTTTGTCGTACATGCTGCTACACTGTCGTACATGCTGCTGCACTGTTGTAAATTGTTACAGACACTTGCACATGAATTCACAATTATTGTATTTGCTCGTTCGAATTTATTTGTATTTGTTTCTCTCACCTTTCACTTTTCCCGAGTTGATCACGTACCTGCGTGCTCCACTCTGCTGCAGTTAGAGGCAGCTACTCTACATGCAGTCGAGTCGATTCTATTGTGTATCTGCATGTCTCCTTGACAATAGCTGTCCAGCTCTAAATAATTAGAATTAAATTCCTTCTCTCTTCTCTCTCTCTAATTCTCTTCGATTTATTTATTTTCGCTTCTCTCAGTTATTTTTGTTTTGTTTGTACTTTGTACGCTATCGCTCTATCTGCATGACGCGATGCAGTTTATGGATGTTGTCACTCCTTGGGGCGCCGTGCCTGCACCTTTGGGCGCAGTGCACCGGATGCGCAGTGACCTCTACGATGTACGCCACAGCTAGGCATCTCTTTTGGCTTCATGTTTCCTTTTGCGCTGCCAGCTATTCTGCTTGAGGCTACGTGTACACGTGTCGCTCTTTGCTTTTCAGAACTCTTGAGTTGTCAGTTTTATTCCACTTTGTAAAGAACAAGAACAAGTAATGGTTCAAAGGAAATCTTGTCTACCATTCACAGGGCCGCAACATACATGCTGCTGCACCGTCGTACATGCTGCTACACCGTTGTACATGCTGCTGCACCGTCGTACATGCTGCTACACCGTTGTACATGCTGCTGCACCGTTGTACATGCTGCTGCACCGTTGTACATGCTGCTGCACCGTTGTACATGCTGCTGCACCGTCGTACATGCTGCTGCACCGTCGTACATGCTGCTGCACCATCGTACATGCTGCTGCACCGTCTTCTGTCCTCCCATATACACACTTCTGTACATGTCCCCGTTGGGACGGGCAGTATTTGTCCGTCTACCGTCTTGCTCACTCTCGAGCACCTCTTTCACTTCCCTTTTCTCTCTCGCCTCAATGATATACTACCTTGCGTCAGGCGAAATAGCACGTCATAGTACATTCGAGATCAACGGGAAGAAGATGACGACGTCCACTAATTTAGTATCTGTGCACACAAATCTGCTGTGTGTGTTACTCTGTGTGTCAGCTATGGCATCATCGCCTGTGGTTCCATGCCTAGCATGTACGTCTGAACCATCCTGCAAAGTTTGAATGACGTAGGTTGAGCGATCGCTCCGCGAAACATACTTTTTGAAATTCTCTTCATAGTATATCTTCCACCATTGAAATTTCGAATTTCTTCGAATTTTTTGCTGAGAGGGGTGGCTTGCAACCTCGATATGGCTTGTTCCTGGCATGCTTTGGAGCCATCGCCTGTTGAAGTAGTGGCGGGGATCTGCCCTGCAACTGCTACAACAAAAAAACGATTCGATCTGAGAAAGGGTGAGACCGCGAATCTCGGTTGAATATTGAGTATTTCAAGCCTTTTCACGACGAAGATGGAGTTCTTTTTGGAGATGGACGTCGCGGCAAAGGACATGGTGTCCGACTTCTGGCGTCTGGTGAAGCCAGGGATCATTTGTCCAGTCAGGTCGGCAGCCTAACCGTCGGTAAGCTTGGGTTTGGATCCCGTTCTGCTCGATGTGGTAGATTACAAACAATTTGATATCGCACAAATTGATCTCAGCATCGTGCGTACGGTATTTTATATTCAGAAAATCCCAAAGTGTCTCTGTGTGGCCGTCCTATGCCACGAGAAACTCCAATCAGGTTCCTATGTCCTCTGCCTTCATGATTGAATGTCCACTTCGTTTGAACAACGAACACAACAATCGAGGACGGCTTTGCAATGAAAAATACAGCTATACTGGAGCTGAAAAAAAGAAGAAAAAACGTGCTCAGGATGAGACTCGAGTACACGCATACTCTCCCAGCAGGTGAAACGCAAATTTTGTGAAAAATGCGTGTCGCCGACTGACCAGTAATTTCGCCTGACGGTCTCGTCTTGTCTCAGTTTGATTCGTCCAGCCGTCTCCACGAAGTAAGATCAAAACACACTCTCTCCAACCGAGACTGTTGGCCTATTGTCTGGCGTAGTCGCGAAGTGGCCATAGTTTGTTCTTACCTAGACAGCAGTACAGATGGTGCTTGGACGCTGGCTGCAGTTTTCATTGCAGCTGATTTCTGGACATTCGGTACAAATTTGGCAGATTCTTGATAACCCATAGTCATATCCGACCTACTGTTTTCATCTGTACATGACACAAAAAGCAAATTGACATATCCAAGATTCAATACTTTACAACCTCCACATCTTTTTTAATATTGAAGTTGATGTCGTGAAACCGTGACTGACGGTCGAAGTTTTTGACTGGTCATTTTGTTGTTGAATGGCTTGAATGACTTGAATATCGGAGGTCAAAAACCACTTTCTCTCCGATTTTGTTCAAATTTTCAGGGTTGAAGCATCATGAGGGCAAGCTGTTAATCAATAAATTTGGCTGGTGTGTAATGAATCCTTCCCTGGATTTGGGGCATGTGAAAGACACACCCATACGTTGCCATTAATTTTATGTTGCGAAATAAGAGAAAAACCTACTCTTGCAAACAGGAGTTCACTTTTCATTTGTTTCTACGAGGCAGGTTTGTACTAAACTATGATACAAGTGGATTTCAATCCTTTTTCTGGAATTCAGGACCACTATAATCACACATTGTTGAGGCAAATACACTGGAATCAACTACGAGAGACGATCATTACTTCGCATATTTCTGCAAAACAGTGGGCAAACGAGTCCAATGACCTAACATCATTTTGACATAACTTTATGATACTGACGCAGTGCCATGCAAATAGCAAGAAAACACAATCATTTTCGGTAGGGCTCAAACGGTCACGGTTTTACCCCTAACGGTTAACTGCTAAGCTAACGGTCGGTTTAACGGTTATAACCTATAAGCCACGGCAATCCTGCGGACTCTTTTTTAACCGTATATTTGACTATACTCATTCAAAAAATGCACCCTGTTCAGTACAACGCACACACATGTACATTCTCTTGCATGCTCATTCACACATACTCTCACACCAAGAGACCAGATATGACCGAGTTGACAGCCCTGAAATTGCGTACGCGTGCGACAGCCTGCGAAAGTGCATACTTTGCAACGACCTGATACATGTACTTGAAAAATTGACTGAAAAGTTACTGCGTAACCGTTATCTTTATCGGTTAACCGTTAATTCTTCGTAACCTGTCTGCAACCGGTTGATCGGACTAACCGTTTGAGCCCTAATTTTCGGGCCAATTTTGCGAAATTTAAATTCCAAAGCATTTTCGAACCATATCGAATCAGGGTTCGGAATTCCTGTTTCGTCTCCTCACACAGAAGCCTGTACTTTCAACCAGTGTATTCAGTTTGCTGATAAATCTACCCTGCCATGTTCTGATACTATGGGAATTACTGACATGATTGCAAGAAGCAGCAGATGAAGGTTGGAAGCATTTTATTGTCCCCAATGTAAACCTGTCTCTTTCTCAGAGAACGCATTATTTGGGCTACTTCGAGGGGCCATAGCCCCACCAAAGTGCCCAATTACATACCCTAATATATTGAAACAAACGGTGAGGAGACAATAATTTGATAACCGCAATCAATAAGACGAGCTGAATCGACATTTTTGTACTTTATTCATGCAATGTAAAAACGGTGTAGACGATGTGCAATAAAACGATGAAAATATGAAGAAATGGTGTGGAGACTAAGGATCCAAACAAGTTTTCGTACAACACTCATCAGGAATCGTCGTTGTACTAAAGGACACTGAAACAAAATTGAACTACATGTCCAGAATGAAAAAATCAATAATTATATTAGATAACCGCAATCAATAAGACGAGCTGAATCGACATTTGTGTACTTTATTCATGCAATGTAAAAACGGTGTAGACGATATGCAATAAAACGATGAAAATATGAAGAAATGGTGTGGAGACTAAGGATCCAAACATAGCATTGCAAAAAAGGTGTTAACTCTTTATTACCGGATTACTAGCACAGCATGCACCAGAATAACGAATGTCAGCACAATTTCCAACTTCACTGGCCAGGTCATAACTTTGGTCTCCTTCGCTTGTTTTTCAAAATCTAGGGCTCGTTGGAAAGCTCTTGGCGAGAGCAACACCAGGGTATCAAGCTCCATTATCTAGTCGCCACAACTCAGGCGCGGTAACACAACAAAGTCGTCTCCAAGGCTGATATGCAAGCAAATTTATCCCATCAACACCATTCCACTCTCCTTCATCGTAGAACGCTCAAATTTGTTTGAGACGATTCAAACTTCAGCCGGCTACGTCATTACGGAGGATTAGCAAGACGAAATTCGCGTTCGCACTCCAAGGAAAGTCAAACTCGGTGACAGAATTCGCGATATGAGAAGGATTAGCAAACAGAATTCGCACATGCATGACTTTGACACGACGTACATTGTGTACAGACAGTACAGCGTAGTAAATTTATGACTGTCCTGACACGAATCCACGATTCGTTTTTCAACTACTTTTCCGAACGAAAAATGCGAAAGTTCGCAATCCAGTTCGCAAACTGAAAAATAGAGAGGTTAAGTTTCACGTAAAACTCTTACGTCCGTGAACTTTTACGTGAAAAATTCAAAAAACTCACGTAAAATTTGACGTGTTTTGCGCGAGTTGACTGTCCCGCACGTAAGTTCGTGACGTGGGTTTTTGGAAGTTTCGCTTGGTTATCCCGATCGAATTTGTGTGAGTTTCCGTAGGTTTATCGGTTTTTATCGAGTTTGTTGGAAGATTTGGTATTTGTGCGTACTAAGCCCGAATCCTGCCCGGCAAAATTTCACGTCACGTCGCACGTGTAACTTAACCTCTAAAAATTACACGTAACGTGAGATTTGCATCGCGTTTTGAAAAATGGCAAAAAACGTGTAACTTAACCTCTCTAATGTTTGCGAACGCGAACGCGAATTTCGTCTTGCTAAATCCTCCGTATTATCATGTGCTGAGTCGCTCAAATAGCACATGAAAAGGGATTTCCCCAAAATGGCGAAGTGATCGATCAAAAATTTGAATTTGCCGAGGTAAGAATACGGCGGACGATATCTCTGGCGCTCGACGTCGTAACTCTTCGGGGATTGTTGCATTGGATAGCTTGGAGTTTCCGCTACCAAATAGACCCTTCGATTGTTGAATTTGCACAAGAAACGATGGAGTTACAAAGATATTACTGGCCTGCAGAACGCCATTTCACTCTCCTCTATCACAAAAAGCTCAAATTCACTCGAGGCGATTCAAACTTCAGCCACCACGTCATAAGCATGTGAACAGCCGTTCAAAGCGCACGCGAAAAGGGATTTCTCACAAAGGAGCGGAGAGAGGTCGACCAACACTTTTAAATTGCTGAGATAAGAATGTGCATGACATCTCTGCCGTCCGACATCATAACCTTTCGGCGATTCTTGCATTGGAGAGCTTGGAGTTTCCACTGACACAAAGTTCTTTTCAAAGCGTAGGGGACATCGTTCCAAAACTTTCTTCCAACAGTCAATCAATGTAAACGCAAAGAGATCAAAGAGAAACGACAAGAAAACCAGAACAAGATGACCAGAAAACGAACAAGATGTCCAGAAAAGCATATGGGGAAAATCTAGTACCACGCCGTACGTATAGGATATTAGGGACCTTTAGCACCACGTTACAACGTGGGCCTTTCGACGTACCTGATCACGTCGATCGGGGTGCGCGATACGTGTTTTGCATACTTGGCTAGCATTTGGCGAGACGTGATTATGGATCGACGCTGTTGCCACAGGAACAGAGCAGAATGGCGCGCATGATTTCAAAGTTCCTCGCGGGAAATGTGGAAGAAAAGACTTTTTTAGTAAACTACTGTACTTCGAAAATTAGTTGATTTCCTTCAAGGAGAGAGAAAGAGAAAGAGAGAGAGCGCGTGTAGTAGGCGCACATCAGGAAGGAGAACTACACTCACCAGCAAACCGTCGATCTCATTGTAATCCTCAGATGTACCGGTTTGTCTGGCGCTGTAGTTCTCCTTCCTGATGTGAAGCATGACCAAGGTGGAAACACAGCTGATAAAGCAATACGATGCAGCCTATTCTATCTGTGTACCAGCAAATGAGTTCTATCTCGAAGTGTACGGATGGTTACCGGCTTCCATTTGGCGTCGTAGTTAGTTGCCAAATTCAGGAGTACAGTGTTCCAGGCAGGCGAGCCACGAGAGAAGGGCTTTTCGCTCGACGCTGCCACTACTTCTTTCAACAAATTGATGTCCTCCTTCGCTCCAAAACGAAATTTCTGGCACACAGCCTAATAGTCTGCATGTCCTCGGCAGCCATACCGAAACAAAATTTGCTCGGAGAAGAAGATACCGGAAACACAAAACAAAGATAGCAAAGAATAACATTACGCCTCTCGATCGATCGTACCTCGTGGGTTACAAAACAAAAACTACAACATAATAACATCGACGTTTTTTGAACTCTTTCCCTCTTGGTGCAAGTCAAGAGTACATAACCCCCCAGAGTGTGCAACTCCCACAGACCCTGCTGTCCCGACAGAATTTCAAGTTGACGTCATTATTTATGACGCAATGCTCCTTGCACCAGTGATTTACAACATGTGGACGGGTGTCAACGCATCACACATTTTTCTTTGCAATGATTTGTACAGGATCGATCGGCTTCGGTCAACCACAGGATCTGGATTCGTCTGATAATCCGTGTACAGTGCGCATTGCATCATCAAAATAACGTCAACTTGAAATTCTGTTGGGACAGCACCCATAGAGGAGTTGCACACTCTGGGGGGTTATGTACTCTTGGTGCAGGGTGCAAAGGCAAATTCCTACGTCCTGCCACAACGTACAAAAGGCCTTTTCTACGTTGAAAACGTTGCCTGATGAACGTACATCCTACGTCGCAACGTGACCCCGGACCCGGACAAGGCCCTACGCCAGGCCTACGTCGTAAACAATGTGGTGCTTAAGGTCCCTGTTACCCGAGTAAGAGGGTTAAACCGGCGAATACAAAATCTGAATGCCGCAATACAACACCTGAACGCCGCAGGCGTGAAGGTTTTGTACGAGCTACCGTATAAGCCGAGCTAGAAGGGTCACATCCTGCTTATCCCATGGTGCACCATACGCATTCAAAAACAGATTGTGGTAGCTTGGCGGATATGGCTAGTGTTGCAGACACAGCATGATTACATGTACTACCACCTCAGGGGTTATGAACTCTGGGTACTGTGCTCGTACTATGCATTCGGCCTGATTGTGTTCGCCACACAAAGGTGGAACACGTATTTCACATTTTCTCTTTGATGAAGAGCAGTTAATTAAGTATTTATGGTGATGGTCGCTCTTTCAAAGTGGCAGATTCTAAAACTGCGTCTTCAAACTCTTCTGGTCACGGTGACAACTTTCTGATTGTGAGATGAGAATTTCGTAGCCTTGACTGGAAAATTTCGGAACAAAAGGGTACTTGCAGCGGAAGAGTCTGATCCCGAACCCTGCAAAAACCCCAATTCCTCCTACTCCATATGGGATACACACAAACACACACCATTTGGCCATTTGACGCCCATCACCGGAGGCGATGATAGCGATGCTATAGCGGAAGCCATAGCAACTTGTGCTGGGATTGCACCATTCAACAGCTTGCAAGGCTGAAGAATTGACCGCCACTATTCAGCCTGGTCTACACCACACAGCAATGAAGTGGCTTTTTCTGGCCAGTGAATCCCTAATTTTTGGTCTTTTTCATTTTTTCCCGCACACACATCACACCACATACTCCGGCATGCACTGGCTGTTGGTAACCACCCAGGAGAATGAAAGAAAAGTCAGGAGGAGTCTGAGAAAGAGAAGAAAGACCAAAATCGTCGGGAATCGAACCCTCAACCTATCGATTGGAAATCGCTGCACATACCACTGCACCATATGGAACAAACACACGCACGCACGCACACACGCACACACACACACACACACACACACACACACACACACACACACACACACACAATCACACCAACACCAAAACATAACGTATAAAATGACTAGACATGTACTTACTGCAATTACGTTTCGTGAATTCGCACACGACACGATTCATTCCTGTTTTTTTACCATAAATATTTATAATATGGTCGAATGGTGCTGAAGTCCAATATCCTGCCTTAGGACGGCCAGACGTGCGGCCTAGATTGAAATAATAGTTAGCGCAGATCCTGCTTGGACCAGCAATGGAAATCAGGTTGCCACTAGAATGACGAGAGGCATCCGTGCTCTTTGAACAAACATTTGACGCATTTGCAGAACTATAAAATTCACGCGAAACACCCATTTCAATGCAGGGACGATCACACCCTTCAAAAGCTTTTATAATGCCATCTGGAAAACACAGGATAGAGAAGTGAAACACGACACAAATATAGAAACAAGATGAAGAAATGAGAGAGAAAAAACCCAGCATGGAAACTAAACTAGAGATAAATAGTGCTGAATGTCCAGCCAGTCACTAGTACATGCTCAACCAACAGTCACAAACTGCGACAATCAGGTCAAGTACACGTATAGTTTTCCATAACGAACGTCTTCTTGCGACAATCATCAGTGGAAATATTCGTCACTACTTCATTTTCAAAGACAGACTAAACTAATATAGGAAGAGAGCATATGAGACAAAAACATTCCGTGACAAAGTTATAGCGTTAGCAATGGTAATCAACAACATCAGCAGCAACATCGCAAGGTGGAATGTCTTGCTTACTACGGACTGCACTATTCGACTCACTCGAGTGGATTCTTCTCCTTTCCATGGCAGTACCAGATAGACAGGACACAGCCACGCCAGGATCCCAGAAGACGAGGGCCATCACCCCCTGACGCCACAAGTGATCGTCTTAAAATAGCCAATTTACAAGCGCTGGCAAAACAGCCAGTTACGTCCTCAATTGGCAAGAACTATACACCGGCAGATAGTAGAACACCTCTTCTAGCGCTGAGGACATGTCCCCCATCTTCCTTTTGGGGTTTTCTTGAAATAGACTTTTTTGAATTGCTCCACTCGACCATGCTGAAATACGGCCAAAGTCATACCTGCGCAGGAAAGCTCGCCCCATCCGAGACGTCTCCTCAACGATTTCTACTTCAACACTCCTCCCAACGCTGCAGAACAAAGTGTATTGTTGACTCTGACAAGGAAAAGCAGCGGTGATCACTTGTCACCCCAAACGACAAGCTTCTCCTTGCGCCACCAACAATATTTCGTGCACCGTTGATGCAAAAGGGACTGAAGTCCTGAGCGCAGTTTTTGAATTTTATTGCAACATGCACGGTGAGATCGCGTGCTTTGTGACGTAGGCTGACGCTTCCTGGATCACGACACGCGGCCATCGATTGCGATCGTGCCAGGAACACTACTCGGCACAGACCATGATGGCGGAGGTAAGATGAGCTGCATTTCCTGCTGGATCTGCTGAGAACCCCCACAAACTGTCCTAGGAGTGTTGCAATGGCAGCAAGCCGTTGAAATATCCCCTCCCCCCCCCCCCCCCCGAACAGCAGGGAGAGTTATGCATCTTTCACACTTACCTCCTGCAATCCCGAACATAGTCCAACAGTAAACGTCCCAGCTACATGGTCAGGGAAAGTCCCGGTTTGTAGGCCTACAACACGGTCAGTGTGTTCTTGAGTGCAGTAACAACATGAGTGTGATCACTTCCACACCAACGGGCGTTCAAGGCGAGTAACAAGCGCATGTGACGAAGGTGACTCTGAAATCTCGTGAGCCGTGATCCACGCGACTTGGCATTCTTGCGTCACAAGGCACGTGATTTCACCGTGCCTCTCGTAGTAAAATTCAAGAATTGTGCTCAGGACTTCAGTCACTTTTGCATCAACAGTCGCACAAAAAATAGTTGGTGGCGCAAGGAGAAGCTTGTCGTTTGGAGTGACAAGTGATCACCGCTGCTTTTCCTTGTCAGAGAGTCAACAGTACACTTTGTTCTGCAGCGTTGGGAGTAGTGTTTTCGAGTAGAAATTGTTGAGGAGACGTCGCGGAGGGGTGAGCTTTCCTGCGCAGGTATGACTTTGGCCGTATTTCAGCATGGTCGAGTGGAAAAATTCAAAAAAGTCTATTTCAAGACAACCCCAAATGGAATATGGGGGACATATTCTCAGTGCTAGAAGAGGTGTTCTACTATCTGCCGGTGTATAGTTCTTGCCAATTGAGGACGTAGCTGGCTGTTTTGCCAGCGCTTGTAAATTGGCTATTTTCAAGACGATCATTTGTGGTGTCAATGGGGTGATGGCCCTCGTCTTCTGGGATCCTGGCATGGCTAAGGGATACTGCTCCAGGAACTCTTCTAAGGTGAGGCAATGTTGGCTTGATGGAGTTTTGTTCGTAGCTTGTTCGTATACGCTGTGGCGCGACTCGTTTGTAGACCCATAAATAATGCGACATTTCGGCCATTTTTGAGGGGTATGCAAGTTTCAAGGTTCCCTTCAGAAACTTGTTGAAGGGCTTTGCACAATCGATCTACACCCCAAAGGGAACATACCTGCAAATTTTGAGCGAAATCGGAGAGATCCACTTGCACACATATTTTGGTATTCCAGACAATACTGAGAATATGAGTGTTACACCGCCACTGTACGAAAAATGGCCCAAATGTGCCCAGTCGTGTCGTGCGACTCGATTACTGGCATCTTCGAGATTTTCGTGATGTTGATTTACTGACATTTGCACGGTTTTCATGCCCTCCTGAAGTTGCCACAATCGCCTTCCAACAGCCGAGTGTTTTCTCTTCGATCTGGATCATGGGTTTAGATCGTTGAATTCGAGCAAGATTTGACTGAGTTACGATCTGTTTTTCTTTTCTTTTTCGAATGCATCGTTTACAATAGATTCAAGCATGGGCGGCTTTTAAATGGCTAAATTCTTGGCTCCACAACTGATTCAATATATTTAGCGGGTTTCTTTTTTAGGATTGAAAGGCTGCACAGGTTCCACGCGCACCCGGGGCCAGAGTAAGTACCAAAACAGAAACACAAACAGCATAAGCAACCAATGCATGTGCATAATTTCTCTCAAGCAATCAATCAGTGACATTCCACTTACTTATTGCGTAGTGCATGTGTGCACCATCAACAGCAAGCAGCAGAACCTGCCACAGAGGAAAACAGCAAAGCATTCACAGCTTTGGTCAAACATAACAAAAACGCTCAACAGCAAAGTTGAACTCGGATACAGAGCCAATAGCAAATTTACACAGTAAAGAATAATATTAGTTCCACGGTCATGCCACACAACAAAGAAGTCTCAAAAGAGGTTTAACCCTTTGAGACCCCAACGATCGAATTCGATCGTTTGGCATACCAGTCCTGGTGATGTCCTAGATAGGACATCACGGAACCCAGCATGCCCCAGCATAAAATTACTTGGTCCGCCCAGTTAAAATTGGCGCTTATCTTCTAACTTGATTTTTTGGTGTTCTGCCTGTGCCACACGGCATGGAACCACCGATTCACCATCCGAACATAACCATTGACCATTGCATCCGACGACATGGCAGCACAAACCATCACAGAAGTTGCGATCGGTTCGTTTGAGTCTTTTTGACGGAGCTGCCGCCGACGAACACTTCCGTCAGCGCAAGAAAACACTGCAACCTCTGCTCGAGTCCGTAAAATAGGTCAGGATGTTCGCATTTCAGAGCGATGGACAATACAGTTTCTGTCTACTTCCAGCTGTCTGATGGCAAGGATTGTTTACCCCGGGGAGGTATAGAAAAGCTGAAAAAGCGCTTCGCGAGCTTGAATTTCATTGCTTGCACAGTACAGCGCCTAGTGAAGGGCTATCACCAGCAAATCGCTGACGAAGAAACTGCAGCTCATGTCGATATCTCCAGAAAGTGAGACCAATCCGGCGGACACATTTTGAAGCTCACAGAGGACAGGCCAAAGGAGCTAATCAAAGAAAACACCAAGTCCTGAGAGAAACACTCGTGCAAAGGACGTTCAGGAAACTAGCCGAAAAGCCTGGTGCACGGCGTTGTAGGTGCAGTACGCACAGGCCACAGGTGCTACATCAAGCGGAAGCTATCACTGCGCTGCATGTAGATCTTCAAGCGCCAGCGGCTCGCGTGGGTACGGGTGCTGATCAGCAAGTACGACAAGCGCAAGAGGCGATTTGAAAAAAGGACACTGATATGGCGTTGCCTTTTTGTCTCAAACAAAGTCGCATTATTGCGACGAACGGGGATAACACTTAGAGTCAACATGCGGGCAGTCTCACTTAGCTTCTGATGGGAAGGTGACAGGCACGCACTGCCTTTGAGCGTGATTCGAGACGAGGAGAAGTGGAACAAGCTATGAAACGACCCGTGCAGCAGCTGTCCGGATCGTACATTTTGAGCTCTTCCTCCAGCGACGATAGTGGCGAGGAGGATGTGTAACTTGCTTGAATTTTCGACTGAGTTGCTTACTGACATGTAAATAATCATGTATATAGTGCTTTGTGATCGTGGCTTGCTTCAAAAATTCGTATTTCTTTCCTGAGACAAGTGTGAAGATAAGCGCCAATTTTAACTGGGCGGACCAAGTACTATGCTGTTCCCATAGTAATCGTGACACGTGACTCAAAACTTTGTGTCGCGTCCGAGGAAGATGAACATGTCGCACTCAAAACAAACGCAACGAAGGCCTTTCGTCTCAAAAGTAATTAGTTGTCGTTCTCCTGGCGGCTTGCCTCAAGCAAGTCGAGATTCGTATCTTGCCTCTTGCCTTCACGAATTTTATTTTCCTCGTTGTGGAGTATGCCTGGACAAAGGAACTGGCAAGCGAATCGTTTTGGTCGCATTGAAAATTGCAAGTGCACAAGAGGATTGGCGAAGCAATCACATGAAATCCCCAAACGAAAACGGCCATTCGGTCGGGTATTCGATGGCGAATCGAATATACACTACCTCAATCCCGCCGATCTCTGAGAGCAAGACATGCTTGGTGGATATATCTGGCTTGGCCCAGCATGCATATCTAGTCTTGTAGGTTCTTCCCAGCCATGTAAAACGTCAGTTGCTTGGCTTCTTTCTGTCTGACAAGTCTGCATACAACACCAGACCTGCACATGACAGGGATTGAGTTTTCAAGTTCATAGCAGCAAGTGCAGGCAACAATGTTACTATATTATCAACTAGAGTACTCTGTGCTTCCCTGAAGACCTATGAATATGCTAAATTATTCTCAACCACTCCATCAGAGCCAACTGTAGCTACCTGTAACTGCGTTCCATTTTGCCTTTTTGCTGACCATTTTTGTCGACCTTCACCCATCATTTCGGGCGTTCGTTTTACCATCTTGGAAGGTGCCCACAGCTCCGAAATTTGGCCCATAGATCACTCATTTAGTGGACAGTTCAAAGCCATCAAAAACTCATTTTCGCCAAATATCACCTACTGTAAAAGCCATATATATAACGAAGTGCTAACTCTAACGAGTTAACGAGGAGAAATCTGTCGTTAAAATAGAAATCGTTATACAGAAATCGATACATATACTGTCCTATTGAGCGTTAAGAGTGAGTGAGAATCGTTAGCTTTGGTACACGTAAACTAGTCAATTCTGGGAAATCGTTATATATGCGCCTCGTTAGAATAATGGCTTTTACAGTAACCCAGGTTTTTGCTGCCCGTGCCTCATTTATTGCTCTGCTGTACATTCTTCTTCTTCAGTCACGAAAATCCACTGATGAAAGTGACAAGAACATCGATTTTGGTTAAACCTCTTTTGAGACTTCTTCGTTGTGTGGCATGACCGCGGAACTAATATTATTCATTGCTATCGTTAAATTCCCCTCCACGTCGCCTATTTAAAATTAAAAGTTAAAATAATCTTTTTCCAGGCAATTCAGTTCCTCGACTGATCCTTTAAAAGTACAAGTAAGAGGTTAACTTTTCTCCCTGCAACGGCCTAGTAAGAGAAGGTAAGGAAAAAGTTTGGTTCAGGAAGATTCTAGCCATGTTCTTTTAGACTGGTGTGGACGGCGTAGAGACATTGTTTGTACACAATTTTCTTTATTAGCACGATAACGAAGGGTTCGAACTCTAAAACCAGAAACATAACAATATGCAGCGTAAATTATAGAGAAGGGAAAGTGTTTGCATGCCTAGGACTGCACAGCAAGTGGCGAGTACTTGATGTACAAGATAAAATTGCATGGCCAGACCAGTACTGTACATGTACAGCACTAGCATACCTACCAAGTACCAACCATCACAATTTGGCCGGGACCGTCCCCATATCGAGGGTGGTAAAGGGCAGTAGTGGGATGGTCTAAGAAGTAAGATCATGATTGAGAAAAAGAGGGTACAGGTTCAAGTCCTGCTTGGAAGCGGAAGGAATATTCCAGCCGTGCTGCGACCCACAGTTAATTGGGAACTCGTGGCCTGGCACGAGGGTAACATGGATGCAGTTGGTGGGATTTCGGTCTTGACCACTTTGTGGTGGGTCTGATCTACTCACCTCCCACCGTTTAGGCGCTGCAGCTGCGTTAGAGGGAGGTGGCGTTCCTACGGATGCGAAAACTCGCGAACCGTGAAATTTATTTATTATTTTAATAAAATGCACCAAAAAGTGCATTTGTCACATGCCTCACAGCTACATTAGTATATACATTTTAATACCTAAGTATACCATTGTCCCGATCTCGGGTTTGAAAAGGTTGACAGGTACTAGGGCGGCTGCAACAAAGGTTAGAAGGTTCGGTGACTATTTGTTTCTGAATCCAAAGGAAGGAAGGTTGCATTCAAAGGAAGGTTCGAAACCAGGTTTCTGACCACGCATAGTCCGGTGGATTATTTTAATGCATAGTATCAAGAGTAGATAAAGAAGAGTGTGCAACTCCGGATCTCTCCTGCACAATCTCTTGAATCTCCGCCCACGGCGGAATTTTTTGTTGACGTCACCTTTTTTCAGAAAAACGCGCTTCTTGCCGCAGAGCAGTGTGAGAGCACGTGCTGGGCACCGGCATTGTAATGTAAGCCCGGCAAAGTGCATGAGGCAAAACTTTCCAAAAGACTAGCAGGGCGTGGGTGGTCGAAAAGATTACGTCAACAAAACAATCCGCCGTGGGCCAACCCATCCGCGCGGATCCGGGAGTTGCACACTCTTGTTTATCTACTCTTGATAGTATTGTTCTGCATGAGATAACATGTATACCTATGTCATAACAAGTGCTGCGAGATGCTAACAGTCATACACTCAACAGTACTAGAATCTTAGAACCTTCCTTCTTTTAAATTGAAAGGATTCTTCAGCCATTTACCGCATTTGTTGCAGCCCTACGTGCTACGAGCACATGTACACACAAGCCATATCCGGAAAGCAGTTCAGCAGTGGGTTGCTATCTTAGCAGCCGGGTTAACTCACCTGGATGACCAGCAAAACGGAAAGTAGTTTGCAATGCTCCATTGCTGCACGCACACACGACGGTCAGCAAAGATCTCCGCTTGAGAATAAACCAGCGCTGTAGTCACCCATCCGTTGACGAACACACACGGAGATGGAAATTGCAAACATACAACCAACCGTCAATGGCAATATCAGAAAAACGAAATCGCACATATCTTTTGCCACATCATTTATCTCCAAGAATTGCATTAATGAGAGTATACAAGAGGAGTGAAAAAGCAATCAATAGTAGAAGAGGTTTTCCTTGGAGGCAACATTTTTATCACACTCAAGAAAAGAACAAACGTCAAGCTCCTCGGAATCCATATTTTCAAAAGAATGTTTTTGCTGGCACTTTCACTGTCTTCTCCTCAGGTGGGATAGAGGTAAAAAGAATCTCAACATGCACAATAAATTATATACAGCAGAGAATGATGTGATAGCAACAGCGAGAACAGAGAAGCCAGAAACAACACGGTACATTGCAAAACCTCGTGAATATAAAAGGAAATGATGAAGAAGGTGAGGGTGCAACTTTTACCATGTCGTTTCTGGCTACTCTTCTTTGCGCTATTTCTATCACATCTCTATTGAAGAAGTCATTGTGCTTTTCAGTTCCTTTTTGCATGATTCCATCTAATAAGAAGACAGTGAACGCACTAGTGGAAGGCTTTTGAAAATGTTCATTGGGAGGTTCCTGAAGCTTGTTCTTTTCTTCAGTGTAACAACAGAATGCCACGACGTGAATTTTTTTATAACGTATCCAGTTGTACGCTATGCCACCTGCATTGCACCATTAACTGTTAACGCGTGTCCAAAGAATCTCAATCACGTGGTTAGCGACACCATTCAGCGTTTCAATAATACAATCTTCTTCCTCTAATCCTCTGCTCTATACATTCTCCAGTATCTCGTGGCTATTTTTTTACTAAGTAAAAGTGGGGAATAATTGGAATAATTCAACTCATTTCACAATAATTATTACGTTTCGGCAAATTGCCTTCATCAAGTATTCTTTTTACATAATAAATAATTGACCATGTCCATCCGATTGTCCTACTCAGTAATACCGTCGGTGACGAGCCTTTGTGGAGGAGAGGAGTATAGCCGGTACATGTACATTGATTCCCTAAAGGCATACCATATCTAGGGGCTTCCAGTCGGATCCGATCATTACAACTTACGTAAGGTGACGTGACCGGCATTCACCACTATAATTATGCTAGTTATGGCATGGTAGCGCAGGCAGTCTGCCAGGTTATTGACGGAAGCAAAGCCCTCGTGCTGTAGGCCGCAGGCCCCAGGGTTTAGCTGAGCTCAATAACCTGCCAGTGGCAGACCAGCGGCCAGGGCCACAATGCATTTTTTTATTTAAATTAATGACATGACATGACCCACCCTCCAAAACAACAATAGTAACTACACAAGTTGATGCAGGAGCAGCAGCTAACCTGCTGCTGCAGATAAAGGGGCTCAAGGAAGTTATGCACTTGTCATCGTTCAGCAAAAAGTGTATAATTATTATAGTCGCACATTCTTCGCAGTAACAATTTTAAATTATTTTGCAGAAAAACTCTGCATCTGATTTTACAGTTGCACCTAGTACCTACACAAATCCAAGACTGATATTCTCCGAAGAGCAACGGAGGCACTAGTAGATAGAACGCTGGTAGCACCTACCATTTTGACGCTCCATGCCAGCGTAATCTTCACGAAGATGTTGATGCAATTCATCTTCGTTCCATTTGTCCAAAGGAACGACTTTCGCCTTTTTCAAATGGAACTCACTGAAAACGCAACCAGTCTTTCATCGCTTCTTTCGTTCGGACCGAGGTCCTGCTTTGAATAACTTCTGACATCAGTATCCTGATCACTACCGCTTTCAAATCGTTCTTGAGTAGGTTCGACCATAATCTTCAACACCTGATTCCTCACTATGTTGTAGTTGAGTAGCTGTGAGGAGAAGATGAAGGTCTACCACCACTGGCCACAGTCCATACCTAGGCTAAAGTAGATCTACCTCAAAGAACTACTTTCGAATTTCGTGCACTGTATACATGTACTCACCAGTTCCCGTGCACGCGCGTGCGTGCCGCCATTTCTTCTCATTTGCCGACTCGCGACTGCGCCTTTCAACTTCAAGAGTCTAAGTAAACTGGTGCAGTGGTGGGGTTATGAACTCTACAGCCAGCCCATAGCCATTACAAGTACAACTCGTAGACGTCTAGCCATATCGGGCCCTGTTTGCAAACCCTGTGCCGGGATAGCGCTAGCTGGTGACCCGATTGTAAATTTTGCCGTCAAAAAGAGGCTAACGTCGAAAAAACAACGCGAGTGACCGGTGGACCCGCAGCTAGCTCACGTCGAAATTTGGAGTTTTACGTTAAACCTGACGTGAAATTGGGTGTCACATTAACTTCTCTAGTGTCTGACGTAGTACCTTATTATTAAAAGGGGGGGGGGGGGGGTACTTTCAAACGAACCAATTTTCTTTGGCATGTTGGGGGAAACCAATTGTCCCTTTACGGGAACAACAACAATGACAACAAAACGCGACAGCGACGACGACGACGACGACGACAACGACAACAACAACAACAACAACAACAGCAACAATTAAGTGGAGCAGAATGACTTACTTCTTCGTGACAAACACGTCGAAACTCAATCGATGACACTCTTCTGCTGGGAAGATTGGCCAAAAAGGAAGAAGTAGGACACCGCTATCATCAAGGTCAAGAATCGTTTTGCAATGGAAGAAGACACGCTGTTGGAGCCAAACTAGGGCAATCACTTACGCCTGTGGCAGCTTGGTAGACAAGGAAAACAGCTACCTGTCAATGACAGCTCTTCTCGATATCTGAGGGTGGAAGTAACTCGAGTTGGTGAAGATATGGCCGGACGAAGCGGCAATGAGCAGCGCGTAATTACCGAAAGCGTTCATGCCGTACCATGGCACCCTCCTTGTATGTACGAGACTGCCGGGAAATATGACGGCGGCGCCCGCTTTGGATACCCTATCTATCCCACGCGCCAACCATGTCATGTCAGCAGTCCGCAACTTTCGTTATAATCAGATTTGCCGCTGTTCGGGATCCAAATATTGGAGCAAGTGACTCCGTTGAGTGCAGTTATGGTGCCTACTGCTCACCTTTTAGGACTCAGTAGTACCAGTGAAGTTGATGATTTGATTATGGGAGTCCCAAGAGGCATGGCCTCGTTACGGGAGGACCCTGGCCTGGGTAAGATGTTTACGGTCAGCAAAATACGTACCAGCAGATTTCGCCTGACGACAGTTGGGAGGAAGCGATTCCACAGATCTACCGCCAGCAAGGTACAAGTAAGTTGCTCCGTTGGGTGCAATTATGGTGCCTACTTTTCACCTTTTAGGGCTGTAGTAGTCTGTTGTTGAATCCACAAAATGTGATAATAATAATAATAATTTATTAACCATTTATTAACCCATCCTAACCGCGTACCGGTGTGCCCACTTATTATTATTATTATTATTATTATTTTTCTTCAGACTTTTCCCGTTTGTCTCTTTCCCTCAAACCAGTTAGTATTTTATGACTTGGGGCTCCCCGCGTGCTAGTTTGTACGTGAAGTGTGTGGGTACAGTGAGGGCTGCGTCCCACCCGCCTGTGTGGATTCACAGGAAGTGTGAGTTACGAAGTCTGAAGAAAACATTGAACGGTCTCTGCTTGGATGACGACTACACCATAGCTCAGTGGTTAGAGCATCGCTGGCTACAAGCGAGGGTCCCTGGTTCGAGTCCTGGTGGTGACAGTCAATTTTTTCTTCAGACTTTTCCCGTTTGTCTCTTTCCCTCAAACCAGTTAGTATTATTATTATTATTAAATTTTTGATAGGGCAATCCCCACAGGCCTAAGGCCTTTTGACTTCATTCCTGATGATGGTTATTTCATGACCGAAACGTTGAAATATAATATTTTTCTGGTGAAAAGCAGTGATTTGAGTGTGAGCCAGTGTTGCTCACAACCCATTTTTTTACTTATGAAGCTGCGTGATGCGTCCTACAAGATTTTAAATAATAATAATAATAATGCGAAGTAGTGGTTGCGACTTCGGCTATGATTTGTAAGAAAGGGTTTGCTCCCCACACCGGAGCTCGCGCTATTCCGCCGACTTTACTTGACACTTGACTGACTCACGACTGCCATCCAGAGCACACGAGAAGTCCATCGAACCTTCGATGTCGTGAGTCAGTCAAGTGTCAAGTAAAGTCGGCGGAATAGCGCGAGCTCCGGTGTGGGGAGCAAACCCTTTCTTACAAATCATCGCCGAAGTCGCAACCACTACTTCGTACTGTTGTGCCCAGCGCGGGCTTGCGACTAGTTGGTTTGGAGGTGACAGCGTTGCGAATGACCGAGGGTCCTCAACGTCTGGTCTCACCGTCCAGGAGCGACACTGACTCACGCTGCTATCTGGTGTTCACGAGGTGTTTGTCGCGCTGGAAATGGAGCGTCTCTGTAGGTTTGTATCCCTGGTGATGTTTGTGCCTGGAGAGCACTATAAGTGGTGCTCTTCAGGCACAATCTTCCTCAGCCTACTCAAGCTCAACTGATGAGGGGTGAATTCCCCGAAACACTGTGTATTGAGCAGGGAGTGGTGCTTTCTTGCAGGTTTGCCGAGTCGAAGGTTCGATGGACTTCTCGTGTGCTCTAGATGGCAGTCGTGAGTCAGTCAAGTGTCAAGTAAAGTCGGCGGAATAGCGCGAGCTCCGGTGTGGGGAGCAAACCCTTTCTAAATAATAATAATAATAATGTTTAATAGGCGTCGAGGCGACAATAGTTTTAGAATTGCGATCAACAGAAGGAGCTGAACCGACATTTCACAAAGGCTTTTATTGTATTCAAAAAACGAGTGGATACGAAGGCAGTGAAGAACATGGAAGAAAGAAAAAATGTGATATGGAAAAAATGATGAACAAAAAATTGTACTTCGAACTAGTTTTCGCACAACACTCCTCAGGAAGCTACGTTGTACTAATGAAAAAACAATCCAGAAAGATACTAATAAAGAGAAATGGAGTGAGAAGAAACAACACCTATGAAAATGATAATCCTAGCACTAAGGTAATAACAGGAAAAACTGCGAAAGCACTTAACGAACTTGTAAGGACTACTAGTATACTGTGACACAAGATATGACACCATGGCCAATCAGAGCCAAACAGACAGAACAAGCTGCTACTAAAACAATTTCAAACGAATAATGCTGTCCTTCTGGACACACAGATTAGGCTTATGAATACGTTGACAAACAGCTTCTAACACACTCAACTGCAACTTATAACCATGACGAGCACGGCACAAAACAGAAAAAGAAGAATCAGAATAAACCTTGCAGCAATCAGGACGAGATGCAAGATGCTTATACACTGATGACTTCCTACTAGAAAACACACGCTCGCACCCACTCTTACTCACACAATCATTCTCGCTCTCACACTCACCGGAATCACTGGACTCACTGGCCGAATCCTCCTCAACGACGTCCTGCCTCGGAGCAATCAGGTCCCGTCTCCTCCCATCCCTCGTCTCACGTTCCTGTTGTGTATTCCGTTGGCTCGGTACTTCCGTACTGAAATAGGTCATGGTGTAATTAGCCGTTGTTCTTCTGGGTCTCGTTGATATTGAGGTAGGTATTGTTGTCGTCTCTGCCGGTGATGCAGCAAGCGATGCTGATGCAAACGTGTCTGCATGCAACACACGTGGCGTCGCCAAAGCCACATCCACCTCCGCTGGTGGAGGGAGTGACTTGGTCATGGCCACGGGAGCCAATGGTGGACTTGCCGAGAGGGACGCTAGGTCCTGTGTTGGCGGAGGTAGTGGTTGTTTACGGGGTCTTCCCCGCGTGGGACGCTCCAGTTGTGCGCTACGTGGGATAATGTGTAAAGGAGTGTGTTGCTTGATGCGTTCGCTCAGGTGCTGAACAGTCCTACCAACATACCGGCTAGCACAATTCCGGCATTCAAAGTTGTAGATTACATGACTTAAATGATGGGTTGGTAGGACGTCCTTCAACACCATGAACGAACGCATCGTTGTGTAGACGGGTATGAAGTGTACCGCATAGTAGGTTTGTTTGATGATCGCACGAACTTCACGACTCACATTGTCAGACTTCTTGCCCTTCCATGGTAAGCACAAAAAGACAGGACAACGAGCAGGCCCTATCAATTCATGTTTCGGCGCGGGGGCTGTAGACAACAGTTTTGCCAACATGTCGCCTGGGTATCCGTTTTTGGTGAAAACTGAACGGAGAAATTCGAGCTCACCACTGAGTTTACAAGGTGAACAGATCCGTTTGGCGCGATCCACGAGATTCTTTACTAAGTTGACTTTATAATTAGATGAACAGTACGAGTCATAGGAAATGTATTGTCCGGTGAATGTCGGTTTACGATACACCGATGTTACGCTACCAAATTCGGTTTTCTCAACAAGTACGTCGAGGAAGGATAACTTGCTTGACTGCTCGTGCTCACATGTGAAGCGGAGGGAAGGGTGAAGGCTGTTGAGAGCACCAAGAAAGACCTCGCTGTCTTCTATGGAATCAAAGTATGTGAAAGAGTCATCAACGAAACGGAAATACAGACTCGGCCATAGAGACGCATCAATCTTGCACTCACAGTAACCGACAAAGACATTAGCTAACACGGGACCCAAAGGAGAGCCCATGGCTACTCCATCTATCTGCTTATACATCACGTCATTGAACGAAAACTCGACGCCAGTTGTGACTAACAACATCAAACGTCGAAAAGCACATTCAGGTAGCCACGGAGTGTCAACTTCGTCAACACGGTACAACACATCCGCGCAAATATCAATTGTCTCCTCCAGCGGTACGTTTGTGAACAAACTCACTACATCGAACGAACACATATGTGAGTGACTTGGAACAGGTCGGACCCGTAGCTTCTCTACGAAATCGAAACTATCTTTAACAGTGTGTTGGCAGTAGTGCTCCTCAACAACTTTCAAC